TGGGCACAGCCCCAGCCGCTCACAACTCACCCCATACACAAGGACAGTTACTTCTGTCCACTGTCACTCACAACCACCATCTCTTACACACAGCCACATATGGTCACACTCACTACAACAGCATCTCACACATAGTCACCTACAGCCTTGCACACAATTATAGCCACTCACAACTCATGGTATACACAGGGACAGCTACGCCTATCCACTGTCACCATCTCACACAATCATAGCTGTTTACAACCACACTCTCAGACATACACAACCACATCTACTCACAAACACCTTTGTTCACACTCTTGCACATACCCAGCCCAGTCATAACCATGGTTCCCCAGCAATCATGGCCTCTAATAACACACGCACTAGTCACCCACAACCATAGCCTGAAACACATGGACCTGTGGCCACTCACAGCCAGTCACACATACAACCATGACCACACCTGCCATCGCATAGTCTCACCCACACAACCACAGCCACACACATCATCACTCACACACAATCACACCTGCACGTGTGTCTCCCCATCCGTTCCTTACCATAGTCCACTCCTGGCTCACATGCCTTGTCCAGCCGGTCATCTGGGGTGACCTGCTCATCTGACTGGTGCATGAAGCAGCTCTCTGCGGGGTGGGTTGGCAGGGGAAATGACCTAAGTTCCACTTCTCACCCAGGGCCCGCCACCCATGGGTGTGGTCATCCCTAGACCCATCCCTCTTGGTGTCCCCTGGGTGTGGGCTTTTGGGGCCCCTTGCATCACCACCAAAGAAGGGGGGACAGGTGGGGGCGGGGTATCAAGTGGGCGTGGCCTCCCACTTCCTGGCTCCTGTGCACCCACCCTCAGCGCAGCGGCATATTTCATTGTGGCAGATTTTGCTCAGCAATCCATCTTCCTTCTCCGGGTGGTAGAACCGGGTACAAGACTCATCTGTGTGCAGAGGGAGTAGGAGGCATCAGAGAGCTAAGGCCTCCACCCAAGACCATGCCTGCGGGGCTCAGGTTCCCAACTCCAGTCCCTCAGACCTGGGGATGCTAGGTCCTGAACCCTGGGACTCCCAGGTCCCCAATCACCAAGCCCTGGGACCCCCATCTTATAGAACTTTGGGACCCTCAGACCCCAGGCCTGAGGTTGGCTGCTCACCCAGGTTGTAATAGGAGTACACCTTGACTGCCCCTGGCTGGATAAGCCCCACATTAAAGTACTGGTGAACTTTGAAGGATACACAGTCCTCTTGATCATGTGAAATCTGGGAAAAGGAGGAGGTGAGTCAGTGGGGTGCCATGGGAGGGAGTCCAGCATAAGGAGAAACGGGGGATCAAAGAGGAGTGATCTGTGTGGAGAGCATGGCGGTGGGGAGGGGAGGTGAGAAGTGGCAAAGATTAATGAGCAGGTCAACAAATCTATTTTCTTTTTCTCCAAGGCTCATGGCTAGATTACACTTCTCAGCCTCCCTTTCCATTTGGTGTGACCATGAAATTGAATTCTGGCCAACAGATTGCTATCTGTGCCCCTAAAAACACCCCATAGTTATCAATACTGCACTGCATATTTGAAAGCTGGTAATATAGTAAGTCTTAAAAGTTCTCACCCCACACACACACGCACACACACAATTAAAACTATGAGGTGGTACATGTGCTAACTAACCTTACTGTGGTCATCATTTTCCAATATACATATATCCAACCATTGCATTGTATATCTTAAACGTACACAGTGTTATATGCCAATTATATCTCAATAAATCTGCAAAT